GTGTGTGTGTGTGTGTGTGTGTGTGTGTGTGTGTGTGTGTGTGTTATATAGGCATATATATATGTGTGTGTTTGTGTGTTATATAAGCATATATATATGTGTGTGTGTGTGTGTGTGTGTGTGTGTGTGTGTGTGTGTGTGTGTGTGTGTGTTATATAAGCATATATATGTATATATATATATGTGTGTGTGTGTGTGTGTGTGTGTTATAAGCATATATATATATATATATATATATATATATATATATATATATACTTAAATATACAAATGTGTGTGTGTGTGTGTGTGTGTGTGTGTGTGTGTGTGTGTGTGTGTGTGTGTGTGTGTGTGTGTGTGTGTGTGTGTGTGTGTGTGTGTGGTGTATGTAAGCATATATATATATATATATATATATATATATATATATATATATATATATATATACATACATGTATGAAAATGTGTACATACGTGAATGTTTGTTTATATACAGTATTTATGTGAAGTACTATGCACATCAACAACAAGGTGTAAGGGAACCAGTGTGAAAGTGACTGGATATCTGTAACGAATATTTAAGCAGGATATAATTTAGGTTCTCGGAGTAACCATAAGCAATATATGTAGCAGGTATGTGCTAGAGGTAACAAACACTAATGATTACACTGGTGTGCACAGTGGATAGTGTGACATGTGCAGTTTATGCACTGTCGGTTGGACATACAGAAAACGAAGAGGAAATGTCCTATGAATTTGAAAAATAGGCAAGAAAAAATCCTTTGGATGAATATCCAAAATTTTTATTTTAAATCTAGTCATACTAATTTATGGTGCGAGGCTAAATACAATCAAAAAGTGGTGGACTGAACGAAGATTCCAGGCAAAGCAGTGGACCATCACCACATGCCTCAGTAAAGGACAAGGGATAGTATCAAGGGGAAAAGCAAGAGAAAAAAGAGTGTGGAAGCTAGTGGGAAAACAAGCAGGTGCAAGTAAGAGGTAAAAGAGAATTAAGAAACAGCAGTAATAGGTGATTTAGTGGAATAGTTTAGGGAATAATAATGCGAAGGCGAAATTGAGCAATGGGTAAGTAAATAGCCCATTAGAAGTGAAGAAGACTTAGTGGAATCATCACAAGACAAAAGTTGTGGGACGTGTTAGTCGATGTTCTAAGATTACCAACAGAATTTGAAACGAGACCACTTGTATTTTGCTCCTGCTTGTTTTGCAAAACAGTGAATCATTGGTCACTCTACCTACATAAAAAAGGTTGAGGCAAGCGACAGCAATGGTGTATAAAACGTTTCAACTTTTTTGTTTTCATTTGGCTGAATGAATACATATCCACGTTTTATGCAGTCAAAATTTCAACGGATATATTCATAATACGGTAACAATTAAGACATTTTATGATTAACCAATCAATAAGTAATAAATTTAGTACATAGAGTAAAGTTCTCCGAGAAGACAGGAATACAAAACAATAACAAAACTATTCACTTCAGATAAAACTCCGGCAGAAAACGAAACTGGATACAGGTTACCAAAACCTCTAAGATATACCTAAAGGAATTTTATCACACGTCTACAACTGGCTGTCAAAGAGGCGATTATCTTTTATTATAATGCAACCAGTGAAAAAAGATTTGTAAAATATATGATAATGCCCTTAGATATGTAAGGGTAACGGCCTGTGCTAAAGAAAAAGGGAATGGAAAACATTCAGATTAAACAAACACAGTGATGTGCAGTCTAGGAGTACATTTCCAAGCAAACACGGATATAGGATGGAGAACTGACAAATATAATTCTGAAATGGAATTATATTATGTTTGCAGAAAATTGATGGGCAGTCTTGTGGCATGGATAGTCCAGTAACCCAGGTGTACACTGGTTACTGACATACTAAAGTCCAGCAGTAAATATTTCCTGGGTTTTGTTCATCAAAAGCATATTTCAGCACTTTCAGTAATACCACTCAACTTTTGCTTAAGAAAAGATATTTCGCGTGCATTTTAAAGTGCCGCCCTTAGCTAGTAATTAAACGATAGCAGGGTGTGACATGTCCCTATTCATTTTCACATATGCATTAGAAGATTATGGTTGTAAACAGCCAATAAGAATTATACTAATCTTCCTTTTTAAAAATTCTACCGAAAAGATATAAAATAAATAGTAGTCTATTCGGGTCTGACTGCATGGGTAGTTACAGGCTCAATTAGTGTGACTAATCTCCCAACAGCATGGGCATTAACTTTAGCTAATGAGTTTGCGAGAAAAAATGAGTTTAGAATCTTTACCACAAAAAGGTTGCAGATGAAAACAACGAATTTTATGTGATCCACCGGAAGTTTGCTGCTAATAACATACACTAAAGAAAATTCTTATTTTCTAGATATGGAGACGGCTATATTATCCTCCGTTTTTCAGTCACCTAACTACCTCGCACCCTCTCACCGCAGGCTTCACGAAACTAATGTATCACTTCATGATAAGGGAAAATATAACAAAAATGAAGGGAAGCTACTGTGTGATCCATGCCATAAACATGAGCGCTGGACTTGCACTCGAACAAGGACAGTACGACGTCAGAGAAAACCAAGGGTGTGTGTGTGTGTGTCTACCGATGCATACCAGTGTACAATTACGTATGTATCACACAGCTATACGCGGTATACAAATAAGGGTGATAATATACCTATAATCATTTATAATGAATAATTCATTTAGTCATAGTACTGTTTCAGACAAAATTGAATATGTAAAAAGGTTATATATATATATATATATATATATATATATATATATATATATATATATTATAACCGTCTCTCTACGTTCAGTTTTAAGCTGGATTTGGATGAATAATTCATTTAGTCATAGTACTATTTCAGAGAAAATTGAAAACGTAAAAAGGTCATATATATATCTTAAAACCGTTCCTCTACGTTAAGTTTTATGCTGGATTTCCTGTGCATAAGTCATGAAAAAATATTGGAAATGGAATACCCTCGGTGTTAATAATTTCTCGCCCCGTTATATCTCTTGTGTGTTCATCAAAGATTACCCCTAATTTATTCCCTATCACTATCTTTTATTTCTGCTCTGCTCTCATGAAAATCCCCCCCACCCCCACCCCACCCCATAAAGGAGGATTTGGCTTTGCTATACACCTCCTACACAGGGCACCTGTTTAGGGCAAGCTCCTCGTGCTAAGTGATATACAAAGTAAAATAAATATCAGTTCAATAATATACAAGAAACACTGTGGCAGTACAGAATGAAGGACAGGTAAATTTATATCAGTGATTGGATGGCTGAGTTCTAGGGAACCAATCACAGCGGAGTATGCTAGTTCTCCAAGAACATATACCGGATTTCGAATGTTTACGGTAGACATCGAATCCCGAGCACCGATACCTTCCTTACCTTGCGTACATTGTGTAGTATGGTTATTCTGACCTCTCCACAATCCCCATCTTGTTCGTTAACATAGAACCAGGAGAAAAGATTGAATCCTTTACTATAAAACACGGAAGAATAGCCCTAGAGTCAAGATCTTTAACACCGACTCTCCAGTCTGAACTTGCTCACATCAAAATCGATACTCCTGACAGACGTGTATTGGACTGAATGATATCAAGACCATCTTCATAATATGCATGCCTATTTATTAGACCCAACGATTATCAATAACCAATCGAACACGATGATACACGAACTCACTCTCACTCCGCTACACACACTTCTATATTGTAATAAATCACAATAGAAACCGCTAACCCAATAAGGTTACTAACTATAAATGAAAGGAATCACACAAGCTCAGAAAAAAAAGTATAATAGAAATATCAAAGTCGCTCGGGAAACCTTCCGTGATACAAAAGCAGCAAGAGATATCGCCATCAAGGAAGCCACATAGGAAGCCGGTGGAAAGTAAAAACCATCAACAAGGAAGCCACACAAGAAAGCCCTTTAAGATGTCCAAAATAACCCAAAACACCATCTTCCATGTGCCCAGCGACATCACAAAACAAAGGCCTTTTACTCTCCACGCAGTTATGTAACTGGTTATCACTTAGCTAACATGTTAGAACACGTACACGCAAAAATTCTCTTACGAACGCCTGTTGCTGGTAAAGCACAGGCACGAGGCACAAAGCTATAAATAATTTCATTGTAGAATGAACATTTGGTTCGAAGGAATCATATTCCTTTATCCTCACTTCCTGACCCTAACCCCTTATCATGACACTAGTCCTGAAAAGCTGGGAGAGAAAAGGTCAGAGGAAAAGGACTTCTACCACGCCTCATCGATATAAGACATTGGAAAAAAAATAAAACTATATTAGCACCAAAACTAGCGACATGAAAAAAAATATGTACATATATATACATAAAAAAAAAAAAAAAAAAATAAATATATATATAAATATATAAATATATATATATATATATATATATATATATATATATATTTATATATATTTATTTATATACAAATACATAAACATACCCGCATTTAATTTCAGACCCAAAGGCAAAATAAGAGAGAAATGGTATAGAATGAAAAACATCGTCCGAATCATCTTAAACTATGGAGATGAACCAAACGCAAAGGAAATTTAAGTATATTTCAAAGCTCTTAGGAAAATACAAAACAAACGAACTTGGGGAAACACGGAGTCAACACAAAGTGCCACCAAACTAACATCCAAACTAAGCGACGGAATTTCTGGCGATCGGCCAAGGCTGTTGAACTCAAATAAGGAAAAATAACGACACAGACTTGAAAAGAACTTCATGATTTTTGGCACAGAAATCGATGAACTAATTAGAGCCAGCAAAATTCATATACAATACATGTATACACGTGTGTGTGTGTGGCTACTTATGTGACTATGTATCTATTTATATTTTTGCGTATATATCTTAATGTTTTTATTGCTTATTTACGTATAGTTTTTCATTTATCAATGAATCTACCGTACGCATATATGAATTTATGCATTAAGCAT